AGCGTCTGTAAGGACCGATCATACGATAGTCTGGGAAGAAAGCCTTTGAGTTCTATGAAAATAAAAAATATATTTTCCAATATCCTTAAAATACTATAATGGTGCCTCAAGTGATACACACATTGCTTCCAGGCAGACTGATAAAAACGACACATACTTACACTAATACTCAGTTACACAAGCATTCACACACACATAAAGATACACAATCACAGAAATACATATACATACAAAGACACACATACATATACACACACGTACACACATGCACACACACACATAACCAGACATACATACAATGTACCTACAGACATACATAAACACACACACCACACGCACACATTCACACATATGCTCACATACACAAACATACACACACCAGTAAATAGTACACACACATACATACATGTCCGAATTGGGACAGTTTAACATCCCACTTAAGTTTTTGTTATTACCTGATTGAATAGTGCTGCGCAGATGATTTTGAATACCCCTTATGAGTTATCTGGCCAGCTGATTTAGTCATGTATTTTAGGTTCATTTTAGGAAATAATTGGTTATGAATATAAATTATTACGAGAATATATAGCTAAATATTTACTTGTTATACTCTACAGTCTCTCATATATGCTGTCACAATGATATACGTGGTCCACCTGCGACGAATACACGTGTCTCATCTGCAAATGTCTGGAAGAACAAATGATCACCGCAAATTCCAGTAGCTAGAGACTCGTGAAGATCCGGGGTAGAATAGGTCTTCAGCAACCCATGCTTGCCGTAAAAGGCGACTAACGGGATCGGGTGGTCAGGCTCGCTGACTTGGTTGATGCATGTCATCGATCCCAATTGCGTGGATCGATGACCATGATGTCAATCACTGGATTGTCTGGTCCAGACTCGAATATTTACAGACCGCCGTCACATAGCTGGAATATTGCTGAGTGCGGCATAAAACAACAAACCAACTAACCGTTCTTACAGTTGCACAGCAATGGTTTCTACTCCCACAAAAGACTGGTATATCCGTAATATTGACATAGCAACTCTTTGCAACTGATTCACAATCGTCAGTCTTCTCACCAGACAAATATATGTACGCACAAGACAATTCGGACCGTCCTTTCGACCACAACATCCCAGGCTGCTGTTATTATTGCGTCTGAGAGCTTCATCACTTCCGGCTTTCCTCTCACTCTTAGCTGACACTCTGTGATAAAACTGGAAGACTGATCAAAGTGACGTTAACCCCAACTCACTAACTCTTATTGTTTTCACGTTAATAAGAGTTGCTGCGACAGAAAGCAGTTAGTTTTGTAGGAAGAAGCACCATTGTTTGGGCTGATCTATCCGCCATGGGTTGAACTGTCTGTCACAATATGCAGGGAAACCTCGCAAGAATCCGTCATCCAGGTGGGACCCAGGCGAATTCTTTTATTAGTCATCTCGTACTATCAAACATGATGTTTAAGCACGATACCACATATGCAGATCGTTAGAGTATCTGCCGACATCTTTGCACAGAACAATGGCAACGTGTTAGACAGATCTGAACCTCATGAAACATTGACATGAAGTGGAACGAATGTGCACAGATGAACTCAAGCCCTGTTAAATCTTTACAGGTATGCACGGTACTCCCAAAGTAAACATTAAGTTGAAATAGATCAAACGAATCGAATCGGAAACGAATTCTGATTAATGAACAAAGCATACAAAGGACGAAGCCGTTCTTGGTGTTTTGAGGAAAATCATATTCTAGTAACACTCGTCAATCAGAACACATTTGTGGTGACGTGTAGGAATCACCTCTACCATCGTGTAACTTCAGGCAGACTTTCGACGGCAAGCGAAGTAATCTACTTATAAGCAGCGCTTTATATTGGATCGACGAGATGTTATATCTCGGTTGCTTACGGAAAGCCCGTTATGATGACGTTTGTTGTGTTAGATCAGTGAGACCTTGATTCACGTCGGTGCCTGTGGTCGGACGCATTGTCTGAGAAACACAATGTCAGCAGGTGTCATTGGCGTCTTTATTCAAGACTGACATCATTACCCCCTGATGAAGATAATTAAATTATCACTCTTCATACGGTATAGTCATTAGCTGATTGTTCAATATGTAATAAGTACATGTGTACATGTACGTTTGATATTATTTTTACTAGTCCGCAATTTGCCGTTTTGCAAAAGAGATATCACACTTATTATTTTCAATCTTTCCGAGATTGCAGTTTTACATTAGATTCAAAACGAGAATCCTCTCTTCGCCTATTTCTTTTGACATTTAGGCTGCCACCAATACCGATCCAATTAGCAGGTAGGCCAGTGCTTAGTATATACCCTATAGTAATATGGTAGTGTACCAGAATTCTGCATAGTATTCCGCGCGGCTGTGCTCTTACGCTCACTGTCAAGTCAGGAAAACGTACTTTGAAGAAGGAGAACCCATTAGCAAATGTCCGCATCTGCAGGCACACGACTACAAGCAGTTCATCACTGGAAATGAAAAGCTCCATAAAATCCGCCTCATTCGAAGTACATTAACCTACTCATAGTCATTTTTGAAAAATTGTATATCTTTACTGTTGTAAGTAGAGCATGTCACATGTTGATTGATATGCACAACCATCCAGCACATTCTTAGTACCACCGCCACCACCCCCTTCCACGACACGTACATTTGCACACACGCACTGACACTCGCACACAATATCTCTCTCTCTCTCTCTCTCTCTCTCTCTCTCTCTCTCTCTCTCTCTCTCTCTCTCTATGTCTCTGTCTCCCTCTCTCCCTCCCTCTCTCTCTTTCTCTCTCTCTCTTCTGTCTCTCTCTCTCTCTCCCTCTCTCTCTCTCTCTCCCGCACACACAAGGACACACACACACTCACATACACACACAAGACCACACTCACACATATACCTGTTTTTCTCAATTTTAAAATCGACACAAAGTGTTACGTAGCTGTAAATACGAAATAACAAAACAACTCGAAAAGTACTAGTCTGGATTTGCTAGTTTGATCTCAGTGAACAATACAAAAGTCCAAATTGACATAGCAGAAACAGACTATAGGCATTATGCACCTGTTCTCACCTGTCGTCAAGGTGTCATAGGTCACCTTGATCTACTTACACCTGGTTATGCCCTGTTTCACAATAGTCTGTTTTATTCACATTTTTACACACTTTTACGTGTAAAAAGGCATAAAAACATTTGATACGCTGTATTTGTGCCACGGCCCAATTAGTACTAATTTAGTTGTTTGAATATTTACATATTTTGTATATTGACTACACTTATTTAAGATCTGAGGTCAGAACAGGTTTTTTTCATTTCCGTGAGTACTTTACCCCCACCATCAATCAATCCTTTAGATATCAGAATTATAACAGTCTCAATATTGTAGAAAATAATCCTTGTAGAGTCGGAATACAAACAAATACAAATTGCGATGTAGCTCCACCACATGAAACACATATAGTTATTTTCTTCCCTGTTCGCAGCCAACCAGAGACATTTTCCTCATGCGTATTTGCTTTCATACCTGGCGAGGTCTGTCGGTTCCTGTTTTCATTGTGTTGGTTAGGACATAGGTTCAGTTTACATTCAAATACTACGTTTCGCATTGCGGTATGTGTAAGGCTTTGGTTTAACTGAATGATTCATGGGGTAGGAAATCGATGTCCGAGAGTAATTTCGTGCTGATATGCTTGACATGAACCTTCGGTAGTTACATTGCCTGTGATTCAATCCTGAATGTATGGGACTTTCATAAAGGCGGCATAATTCATACTGAATAGGAATACAATAGTTTTACGACATGTAATGCCTGAGTCGACATGTTGTGTATATATGGCCATGCAGAAAGGATGTCTTGTACTTCTGAGAACTGAGGTTGAATAGTTATGCATGCTGGAAGAGTGTTTGTGTTTTTCGTGTATGTCATATCGGCCGTACAAGGTGAGTAAAAGGCCTGGCAGACTTTCCATGTGTGTACTTCAGTAAGTGTAACATGATTGTTCATGTTGGCAACTACATTGTCATCAGATTTCAATATTTTAAAAGTGGCAATCCTATTAGTTTGCATATGGATCTTTGAGTAAAATCGAGAGATTGCCACATGACCTTGGCACCTTTGATTTGTTGTGGCTGAAAGAACAAACATATATATACTCCATTGATGACCTCTTATATACAACCACTGGAAAATTCCAGTCAGTGCCCTGATCACTGTCCAAACACAATATAATGAGCGTCTACCGAATCTCAACAGGAACAATGTAATGCAGTTACAATCACTGTCAAACAATAAAATACACTGTCATACAACCATATAGATGCTCCTGTGAAGTCACTGAATGTAACAACGTACTAGGATTTCAACATACTAGTGTTTTGCTACATTGTATATCTAGGAAACAGAAAGTGGATATCAAACAGCATGATGATACAAGTATTTCAAACAGTCTATCGGATATGGACATTCCCATCAATAATTCTATACACGCAAATACGATCCTTGGATTTCTGATTTGTTATATAGATTTGAGACATTACACCTTTCTGCAGCATTCATGCAATAGGCTATATCAGACAAAGACTTGCGTAATTTTTAAGTGCAACATATGAAATTCGTTTGCGTGGTTTACTGATCAGCATGATCTAAAATTACATTTTGAGGATGAAAGCTGCTAAGACTCTACCTAAATGTTACATGTTTTGTATTTTTACCATTCCATGAGTAATGTGTTGTTTGATACAGAATTACATTTCCATAGATCATCAATACATTACTGCACCTCTCACTCAAATTACCTGCGACTGCAGTTAAATGTTTTACATTATATTTAACGAAGTTTATTAGACTGTGATCGAGTTATAATAAATAGATATATAAGTGTTGTATATATATATATATATATATATATATATATATATATATATATATATATATATATATATATATATATATATATATATGTATATAAGGGGACACCAGAACTGGGAACAGATGTATAGAGGGGTTGTCGAGAGCCTTTACAGTACAGCTTCAGTGTTCTGCCGGTGAATGGATACATGTCGAGCATGAGGCGAAGGGGGATGGAGACGCCGCGACATGTCGTCTGAAATCAGCAGTGTCGTGTAGTAAGACCCACACCAGCGCCCAGAATGGCCTGGTCGTCAACTGTAATGGGAAACAGTCATGCCGTGAAACCATGACCGCAACACCCCAAACAAACTGTAACTACACAGATGCTGCTGCTGAAGTTCAGTATACCTGCATCAAAGGTGAGACGCACATTTAGTATCTGGTCAAACTGACACAATCATCATGGTTTGCTTTTAATGATGAGTTACTGATTCAATAAAACCCACATGAATAGTTTTAGAAATTAACCCCAAATAGTCAAAAGACTGGTTGCGACCGAATGGGTTTTGCGACTGCTCTGAAACATTGTAGCGACCTCAGTCGCATTGTCTGTGTGACTGAGGCTTAAAGGGATCGAGTGGTCAGGCTCAGATCGTATCCTAATTGATCATGAGTGGATCCATGCTTACGATGGCAGTCTCTGGATTGTCTGGTCAAGACACGATTACTTGCAGATCACCGTCGTATGGATGGAAAAATACTACATTACTAGACGGTGCGCCTCCGTGGTCTAGTGCATAGAGCGTATGCTGGTGATCAGAACATGACAAGTAACTGACATACAGTATACACACATTTATTGAGAAAAAAACCAAGTAAAAATGACAAATAAGTAGAGAATTGACACTTGTGATACAAGGAATCGCGGTTCTCATTATGTTGATCTTATGTTGATATTATCGTATTTGAAACGTTGTCCTTGACTTCACATCTAGAGGTCAATGATTAGTAACTTGTGGCCACCACCACGATTTCATGACTGTTTGAGCCCAACATGTAATTACCTTTAAAACATCAATTATAATGCCTGATTAACAGGCAAAAGGCCACAGGACAATATATTGCGTCATTTGTTTCATGTATGAAAGATGGGACGATATCTAAAATTATTAATACTTGCAGTAGTAGTAGTATATAGACATCCTCATAACACTGTTAGTCTTGCGAACGAAATATTTTTCGTTTCAGTATTCATTAATGCATATTGACATGCAAAGGTTACACATGTATTTGTACCACACTACGTAACCTTGCTAAAGTTTACTTGCACCATCTTCTGTTTGTGATTTATTACAAAACAAAACACACTGCGTATGAATGCTGGACTGCCGTCATCACATCTTTCGCCAACATTGCCATAAATTATAGTGTATGTTTTGTAATTACCATCAAAAGGATACTGCAAATTAACTGACCAACTAAAAGTGCATGCCAACTGTCAACTGGATCATGACCTTGGCGCTACCAGTAAGATGGAAACGCCTTTCCCTGGTAATAATGCTATAACATTTATGAATGTTGGTTCTTGATTTGAGCTTCAAGTTCATTTCAGCCTTGATCAAATGGACGCGAGCACAAATTCACGTTTGTTTGAAAGCAATTTGTTTGATATGAACCATACAATATGTCGCTAATTTGAATCAAAACATATACGTTCTTCAACATGTTATATGCATTGTGTTTCAGGTAGTATGGATATGTGTAGTTCAGGTACTGTCAGAACAACAGTAGGGGCGCCCTTGTACCTCAATTCCCCGGGCTACCCTAACAGTGTCGCTGTGAACAGACGCTGTGCTGTTAGGATCAAAGGAATGAATATACGAGTAACATTGGTAGAAGAGCGGATGAGACAAGGGCTAGTTAACATCTCAGGTGACGGTAAACAACTCTGGGAAAGCGTGAACGTGGACCAATACAACAGGGTATTGCCGGAAACAGCTGCCGAAGTAGTAATAGTCTATGACAACCATGATCAGGCTGGGGCAAATCTATGGATACGTGTTGATGGTATGTGTGAGGTTATAAATCAAATTTATCTTTTGACGTGTCTCCTGATATGATAACTATCAATTTATCAATCAATTAGCAAATCAAATCTGATGCCGATCGTGAATTGAATTGTGCCTCGCTTTCCGAGAAAATATATATAATTATTACAATCTACATTCAGTCAGTCTAGTGTGATCCCTTTTATTGATGAAGTTCCTTTCATGAACCAATCTATCCTGACAGTAAAATAAATATAGCTTCTGATTTGTTCAATGGACTATATTGAAAAATACAATAGCGACCGCCTCTCCAGACTTGTTGGTTCCATCAAAAGAAAGGTGCAGTGAAGCCACAAACATCTAATTTGATGACATGTGACGTGACTGGTATACATTAGGTTTCAGCATATATTATACTGTATTCACAGTTCATCGTATGGTAACAAGTTCCTCAAAAAATGATTAAATTACTCACGGCTCTATGGTCAGCTAGTTTCCCCCAATGCCCAGGAGTCGCATCACTTTTTTAAGATCAACATGGATCTCGAACATAGAGACTGCTACGTACAGAAATGATTGTTCACAGCTTCAGGTCAAATGAACATAACTTCTGAGCGACAAACATTGGATGTGTCAACCACCCCAGTACCCACGCCACAGGCGCCATCACGTTCACGAGGTACAACCAGTCCAAGTACTTTTGACACACTGACCACTGCAGCAACAACAAGTACACCTATGACTTCTGTGGGTGAGTGTTACCTGATGACGATGTTTCATGACCCTGGTCAACGGTGTTCAGTTTGATTATCATTATATTTGTGTGGGTATGAGTATGTCATTTGTGATGACATGCATTAATGATACATTGATGTTTGTTTCGTAAAAGCGCCATTCTGCTCTTTACAGTAAACTTAGTTGTTTACATCGCATTTTCATAGCAAGAAATACAAACTTTGATACATCTAATAAGGTTATTGGCCTATAGTTCTCAGGTTTATCAACATCACCTTTCTTGTGAAGAGGCAATTTAACCCCAAAATAAACGCTGTTTTTGGATATGCATATCTTTGGTGCATATTTAAAGAATTCTATAGCTATTCCACTGAAACCTGGATCCTTTCCACTTTGCATACCTGAATATCTGTTACAGCCTTTTCATGTGTTATGTCTATATATAATTCTGATACATCTTCACGTGTGTTTATCATCACATCTGTTATTGAATCTAGAACTCTAAAATAGATGCGTGTATATTTCTGAAAATACAGTTGTTTATAGTACTTCCATGCTTTAATAAAAAGCGACTATGTTTGTCGTTAGAGGCGAGTAATGAGATCGGGCGGTCAGGCTCGCTGACTTGGTTGATGCATGACATCGTATCCCAATAGCGTGAATTGATACACATGATGTCAATCACTGGGCTATCTGGTCCAGACTCGATTATTTACAGACCGCCGTCATATAGCTGACAGAGTGTAATACTGCTGAGTGCGGCTTGAAACAACAAACAACAAATTTCGCATCCCACCAGTTATGTCCCTTGTTTTTGAATTGTTCGTGTTTGATCTGACGTTCTATGAACATATATATAACAGGTCTTTAAACTGGTTATATGATTCTCTGACACAGGTATCTATATGTACATGCATTAACGGCAACCAATGACATTGTTTTACGAGAAATATTAAAATAATTGTGAGTAAGTATGTGTATGCGTGTGTATTGGTTTCCGCACACGTGCGTGTGCGTGTAAGTCCGTGTTGCGCAAGTAACGCAGCGAGACCAGTATGAATCTTCAAGTTAAAGGCTTCACGTATTCCGTTTCAGACAATGGAAGTATTGTGTTACCCTTAGCAGTGGTGTGCGGTGTCCTGGTTCTCATCATAGTGGCGCTCATCATATATATGTAAGTAACTGTTTCATGAGAAACTATAGGACACTTTGAGAGAAGTCAAATATAACCTTATGATAGTGAAAATTATACAATAACAGTACACAAAACGTTTGTCCCTGCAGCATGGTAAACAAGCTATCCAGGACGGATATGCACGGTGATGCATCGAATTATACTGAAACGTCAACTCATCTTGGTATGCAAACCATCCCCAGTGGATCCCAGGGACAAGATGACCTTACTCCCACCAATGGCACCAGTGGCACCACCAACACATATTCTGGCCTCAGCCATTACAATGAGACGAATGTCTACGATGGAATGCAACGTAATGCCAGTGAAGATGGTGACGAACATAGCTATGGTCGCATTCCCAGCAGACAAGGACCTGCCTATGTTAACTCTGGAAGTGGAGTTGGTCTATATGTTAACACCTAGAGACAGCACACAAGCTTGTGCTTTAGACTCTTGTAGCTCTATAGTCACTTTGAGATCAGCCAGTCTTCTTTATAAAGGCGAATATGTACATATAAAGTATAACAAATAAACCTTATTTTGTTATTTATTTCTCTTAACGTTGAATATATGTTCCATTTTCCATATTATACATTTTCCAGTAAACCCATCAGGTTCCCCGGCCGCGTCACAGCAAAAGACGTTAAAAGACTTGTTGTCACCCTGGCTGGCACTCGGCATCAGGGGGCTTAAACAAGAACTGGTCGGCTCGGAGTCAGTATACTGTGTCTGAGTGGGGTATTCATGTTTAACTGCGGCATTTCACCTCACCACCTTCAATGACGTTTTACAAGGTTTTGTTAATCACCTGATCAATCAGCATGCTTGATAAAAATATTTAGTTCATCTTCTTTATTATGAATTATTAACACTCTAAGCTTCGTATGTAGTTTTGTGTTTTTACATTCCTTTCGAAATACAACTTTCATGTTCCAGTGTATCATCTTTGTTCATCATCCATTATCTTGTGTTGATCTACCACATGTCGTAACGTTAGATAGGTCTCAATTTTAAGTATATTCAAATGTGACATTACTTTCACATCGAACAGATATGTCTCGATGATGAAATGTGTATTGTTTTATGTCATCGAATTAGATGATTTAAAACGTGTGTTATATCCGCCAAATCTCTACTAAAAGTCTACTTTTGTGCGATCCCGACTACATCATGGGCATGCGTTTTTGAATCACTTTCAAGTAGTGAGGATACGAGGTGTTCTCGAAAAGGGAGGCGTATCCCGCCGTCTATCAGAACACGGGAACTTAAAGGTACAAGTCAAAATAGGGAATTGCATCGGACATCATTTTTGTCTCTGACATTCTATGAAAGGTATATATACGTACTTTTACTGTGAACACGACAAATAGTGTATCCGTTTATATATGGTAGTATTTGTGTTTTGTATATTATTTAATCTGTACATTGAACGAACGTTGGTTGTCAAGGTTTTAAATGTGCATCGTTTGGAAGAGGGTCATCAACAGAATGTTTAAAGGACATTGATTAAGTGTTTGGGATCGTATTAATTATTGTCCATGGTTTAGAAGGTAAGGCCACTCGGACTCCGCATCTCGGGGTCTAACTGACCATATCAACGATTAGACACCGGATGCTCGTGGTCTGAGCTGTACTCATTCTGATGAGGGAAACTAACTACATAATTCACAAAGTTGCGTCCATGTTGTGAATGATTTGTGACCAGATTTAGGATTCGTTATTTACGAAATAAAGACTGCTAAATTTAACTCAGGTGCCGGCATGCAGACGTGGTGTACAAGCGCGATAACAACAACAAAATAACTATGACATAAAGCAATACTTTCCTGAAGTCACGTTTACAATAATATGTTAATACACAGCAAACATTTTCCTGGTAAGATAACACCTTGATGAGTGATACTATTCATGCGATCATGCTATCTGTTACGAACTTTCTCTTTGTGGAGTTTTGTGCTTTTCCTGTAAATGTAACAGTGTCCATATTTTTATGGAAATCCAAGAAATAAAACTTGGCAATGTCAAGGATTTCTTACAAGGGACACAACGGTCATGTTACCACATTAATGTATGTCTAACATTTGCGACATTCCAACCACACTGGTATGAAAGGTAATGGTAAGCGTGACACTATAAACCTGTCGTATAAAAGGACATTTTGAATCAATGAATTGAATAAAATAATTTGAAAATGGCGTAATTTTTTTATGCAGCACATATCAATCGCCAATGGTTAATTCTTTTGTCAGATATTGGTTCGATAAGGTAGAGATCAAATGTTCTGATTCAGAGGCTACCGACGGCTGGTTTTACTGCCCCAGGACAATTGCCCACAGACAAATGGCGCCGATAATATAACACTGGTCATATGCATGTTTACGTAAATTTGTGTCAGTACTCTATTCAGACGTGCCCCCAGTAGCATAATACGGGACGATTATATATATATACAAGGAAACTTGTCCAAACTCTGTTCAGAGCAGCCGCTGATAATATAACACATAAAAACTACATGTGTGTATAAATATTTTCCGTAGTCCAGTCAGAACCGCATGTAAATGTAACTCTGTTCTGCACCTTCCCCAAGCCCTAATGAAATCATAAGAGATAGTAGTGACATCAATTGTGATCGTGAAGGAGCTGTGCCGACGTTTCAAAAGAATATCCACGAATGGCCGTCCTTGCAGTGATAAAACAATGTGCCTTATCCCACAAGACTGGTATGTGCGTAATATTGGCATGGCAGCCTTTTGAAACTTTTGCTGACACTATGTTTTGGGTGACACACTTTTTTATTTGTGTGTATCTTTTCAACACTATACTGAAGTAATAAGTTATAAAATTATATACATGTAGATATTCTTAGAAACTCTTATACTGGCCACCAAATATGAAGTCAGGCGACCCTGTCTCTTGTAGTACATACACTACTATTATAAAGTTCTTCGGGAAGTGATTAGAAGCATTGTTAAGCAGTTACATATGTCAGTGCAACAAATGTGAAGGTGTCTCCATTTAACACTACACTCTTTTAGTAGTTGTTTATAGAATATCAGAGCCAATTCTCCATATCCCGTTACCCCCTCTACCACCCACCTCCAGTCGATCGTTCAGCTATCAAACTGCTAATATCCACAATGTTGAAAAAAATAAACCTTCTAGAGTCGGAACATAAAACAAAATGCATAAATAAGTTCTCTGCTGCAACAATAGAGACAGTCTAGCCCTTGAGTATGCTCGCAACATACAGTTACGCCACATTAAAGGTGAGGTGAGGTGAAATGGGGTTTAAAGGGGCACTGATCTAATGCAATTCCCCGGACTGGTTAATGCCTTTGTTATTGTTTTTTCCCCCGTGAGTACCCGGATGATACGCAACGCAACTGAGCGTGACCAGAGACTGGGCTACCGTCTGCAAGTAAAGCTAAATAAACTTGGAGGCTGGAGGCAATAATTGTTTTACGCATATTTGCATAAACACTGATTGGTTAACTGTGATCTATAAAGATTTCGACAAAGGGAGCATGTTAATTAATTTCTTCAGCCTAAACAAACAGACAAAAAGAACGGCGGAGCTCATCGGATGTTATAGTTTAATACTCGCGTGCGTGCTTGTATTAATCCGGACTGATGCCGATTTATAGTGCTAGCTCACTGAGATACCATGCCGCAGTTTAACATGAATACCCCACTCAGACACAGTATACTGACTCCGAATCGACCAGTCCTTGTTTTAGCCCTTTAATGCCGAGCGCCAGAGAGGGTAACAAACAAGTACCATCTTTTAACGTCTTTTGGTATGACGCGGTCGGGGATCGAACCCCGGACCTACCGCGGTCACGCCACATTAAACACACATGTTTGCAGTCAACTTCCCTGTTCGTGGGCCACCAGGGACGTTTTATTAATGCATTATGCTATCAATAGCTCTAAGCTACCTTGTGAGGTTTGTACATATTGTCGCTGTGTTGGTTATGACATTTCGTTGATTGTGTTTGTTCAGTTTACCATTTGTCTTGTGATATGTGTAAGACTATGGTGTTAGATGTTCCAGTATACCCGAAAGATTCATGGGGACACAATGACAGATTTAAGATGTCCCAGGAGAGTGATTACGTGCTAATAGGTTTGAAGTGTTCAGAAGTGAAGCTGTTTACATTGTCTGTGATTCAAGGTGTGGGACGTTCGCAGAGAGGACTTGCTACATACAGAATAGGAACACAACCGTTTTACGACATGTAATGCCTGGATAGAGTCGACCTGTTGTGTATCAACGGACATACAGAAAAGATGTAGTGTACTTCTGATGACTGACATTTAACAGCTATGCATACTGAAAGAGTGTTTATGGCTTGTGTGCATTTCTTATTGGCTGTACACGGTGAGTAAATAGACAGATAGACTTTCCATTGGTTTGTGTACTACAGTTCGTGTACCAAGATTGTTCGTGTTGGCTACTGAATTTTCATCAGAGTTCAATATGTTAAAAGTGTCACTCCCGGACGTGTTTGCTTACTAATGTTTGAGTACTAACAGATGGTACCATTTGATCCTGGTACTTGCGATTTGTTGTGACTAAAAGTACACACATGCAACAACACAACAGCTTAAATGTTCAACTCCCTTGATGTTACTGAATGTAACAGCGCACTTGCATTTACACTTTCTGGTGTTGCTACACGATTTGTCAAGGAAACATAAGATGGTATCAAACAGCAAAAAGTTACATGTCTTTCAAAACAGTCTATCAGATATGGAATTTTGCATCAATAATTTTATTTACGCAAATACAATTTTATTATTTCTAAAAGATGTGAGACCATTACTACAATATTAATTCAATATCCTATATCAGACTTAGACGGATAAATGTCAGTCATGACATCACTTCTGTAAAATGTCACGGGATTCGTTTATATAATTTAATTGTCAGCAAAATACATAAATACACGCAATGTCTAGTGACAAATGGAATGCGATAATAAACGACTCAACAGTTACATATGTAAACATCATGATTTCCTCAGTATTGTCTCATTCTCGACACACAATATTACATTGACAATTGTCATAAATACATTGATGCACCTGTCACTTCCAGATCAATGTTGATTGCAGCATGTTTGTTTCAATGTGGTATTTACCTGAGACTGACGTAAAAACATTTCGATTATATTTTGCGATGTATATTTGACAGTGAACGAGTTACCTTATATTCAAAGGTGACACAAGAACTGGGAGCAGATGTATAGAGGGGTTGGCGGGAACCTTCACAGTACAGCTTCAGTGTTCTGCCGATGAATGGATACATGTCGAGCAAGAGGCGTATGGGAATGGAGACGCCGCGACATGTCGTCTGAAATCAGCACAGGCATGTAGTAAGGTTCACACCAGCAACCAGAATGGCCTGATCGTCAACTGTAATGGGAAACAGTCATGCCGTGAAGCCATAACCGCAACACCCCAAACAAACTGTAACTTTACAGATGCTGCTGCTGAAGTAAAGTACAACTGTATCAAAGGTGACACTTCGTTTAGTTCTTGCTCGATGCAAACAACATGCGTTGTTTTCAGTAATACCACTTTCTGATTCAATTAAACCCACATGCATGATTTTAGATATAAAACCCAATAATCATAAATACAGATGCGAATGTTCTGTACGTTCAAAAACCATGTTATTTTCCGTTTTCTATCAAAGGTTGATTTGGTCACAGTAGGTGTTTGCCGTTCATGTACAGTCGATGTGGTGGTACATGACATCTAACCTCTTTCTTTGCAAGTCTTGTTATTGTCTGCACATCGCACAATGCATTCATTGAAGCATGTATTTTCCTCCATGGTGGTTCCTGGAGTAGAACACACTAACACCCATACAAATCGCAATGATATGATGGTTACAAAGTGTTGTTCTGTCTAACCAACTGTCATCCTACTCTACATCTTGGCACGTTGCTCGTGTTATCGTGCACTGGTTTGCCCGATCAAGATTCCATTATAATGTACAGGATGTTGTAAAGCTGGAACATTATTTAGCTTTTCCCGATTATCGGATACAGTGCATTCATGCGCACACCATGCTTTAGCATAATGCACAAAAATATTATTGTCAACATTTTTTTACAAATATATGTGTTAAATTTAGGTTTGATTAAAATCAGAAAAAATACTACTTGGCTCTATTAGTCTGATGCGACGGAGTACTACTAGTTTAAGTGAGATTAAAGTGAGATTAATCATTGCGTAAACGTATAACGACATATAAGGGTGATGACGTGCATTGTTGTTTTTGCAACCTCTAGCCTGAGTGAGTGAGTGAGTATGGTTTTACGCCGCTTTTAGCAATATTCCAGCAATATCACGGCTGGGGACACCAGAGATGGGCTTCACACATTGTACCCAAGTCGGGAATCGAACCCGGGTCTTCGGCGTGACGAGCGAACGCTTAAACCACTAGGCTACCCGACCGCCCCACCTCTAGTCTGAAGTCGCATCCTAAGAACCTTTAATCATTAGAATTGGTCTTCAGCAATTTAGCGGTGACTAACAGGATCAAGTGGCCAGGCTTACTGATCAGTGACTTGGTTGATTTCAGGCCATCGTATCTCAATTGCATTGGCCGATGCTCACGATGTAAATCGTTGGATTGTCTGTCTCAGACTATTTGCAGATCGCCCTCATGTAGATAGAATATTGCTGATATCGGATGCGGCGTTAAACAACAAACAAACAAACAAACATCTGATAATTTGTTAATTTTGCTGCGAGACACTGCAGGAATAATGTAAGACTAACATGGTATGCTGGCTTGTTCATTGCAACATTCAATTTGTATGTTATCCTGTTGATGTCATTGCAACATGGTATGTTCGCCTGTTGATGTCATTGCAAGACTTACTGATGAGTCTTATGATGGACTACCTCCATGGTCTTGTGGATGGAGTGTCTGCTTGGAGATCGGAACATGACAGCATGTAACGGACATACAGTACACGCACATGTATTGCAAGTCAGTAAACGGAACAAACAAGTGTATATTTTCTGTAGAGAATTAACACTTGTGTTATCAAGGATTCGCGGTTCATCGTATCATGCACCATTCTATAACTGCTACTGGTTATGCATGTTTGGATTGTATATATTGATCTGACGTCGTCCGTGACTTCACATCTTGAGGTGAGCGTGTAGTTCCTTGAGGCCACCACCACGATTTCACAACTGATTAAGGCAAAAATGTAATTACATTTAAAACATCCATCGTGTCAGGCTTTTAGGATATGAAACTTAAGTCACATGGGACAATATCGATCTTATCGTAATCAGACACATATTTAATTGTGGCTTTGTGCATCTATTGTGTCGATTATTTCGCATCATCACAACTCTAGTTTCTTCCATAGTTACATGTACGTATGAGATACACATATGGTAACAGGCATAATTTTTCAGAGAATTACACAGATTATTATTATTATTATTATTATTATTATTATTATTATTATTATTCACCTGATGAAGGAGTAAGCTTATACTCCGAAAAAATTGTGTTCCTCGTGATAAAACAGATGACATCCATAAATTCTCTTCCTTATCATTATTACTGGTACTACTACTGCTACTAGTAGTAGTAGTAGTAGTAGTAGTAGTAGTAGTAGTAATATATAGTAGTATCAGTAGTGGTAGTAGTAGTAGTAGTACCGGTAGTAGTACCGGTATACAGATATCCTCATAACTGTGTTTAGTCTTGCGAACGAAATATTGTTCGTTACAATATTCATTAATACATCTTGACATGTCAAGGTTACACGTGTATGATACCTAGTAAGTGTTTAATTGCACCGACTTCTGTTCCCGATTCATGACATAACAAAAAAACAAGCGCGTACGAATACTTGACTGCTCTCATAACATCTTTCACCACAATTGCCATCAATTATAGCATACGTTTTGTAATTACCACCTAAAGGATACTGAAAACTGATTAAACTTCCTGACTAGGGCCTGACTAGACGCTCATGCCAACTGACTAGAACTACATGCCAACTGTCCCCTGCATCATGACCTCAGTGTGGCCCTGGTAATAATGCTATACCATTTCCAGTGATTCATGTGTGTTTCAGCTTCAGCCTTGATCAACCGGGCGACAAAACGAAATCAAGCAACATGGGAGCAATTTGCTTTATATGACCTGTTATGATACAATATGTCACTAATTTGAATACTAACATGTAAGTTGTTCTACTTGTCATATGCATTGTGTTTCAGGTAGTATGGATATGTGTAGTTCAGGTAATGGCAGAACAACAGTAAACGGGTCGGTGTACCTCCATACTCCGGGATTCCCTGGCAGTGTCGGTGTGAACGGCAGCTGTGTTGTTAGGATCACAGGGCAGGATATACAAGTAATATTGATAGAAGAGAGGATAACGACAGGGAGTCTTAACATCTCAGGTGACGGGAAACAACTATGGACAAGCGTGATAGTAGACGAGTACAACAGGGTGTTGCCGGGACAAGCTGCCGAAATAGTAATAGTCTACGATAACCAGGATCAGACTTGGTCAGATGTATGGATACGTGTTTCTGGTATGTATGAGAGTATACATCAAATTTATCTTTTGACGTTTCTCCTTATTTGATAACCATCAATTTATCAATAAATTAACAAATAGAATCTGCCGGTCTTGATTAGAATTTTGCCTCGCTTTCCGAGAAAACGCGTAATTATTTCAATCTAGTCCAGTGCGATCACTTCGATGATAAAATTCCTTTCATGAACCAATCTATCCTGACAATAAAATATACATAGTTTTGTTAAATTTATTATATTGAAAAATACAATTGTGACAGCCCCTCCAGAACAGCTGGTTCCATCAAAAGAAAAGTACAGTGTAGCCATGATGAAAAGAAACCATCTTTTAACAATCTTCCGTAATATACTAAGAAAATATGATGACTTGACTGGTATGCAGTAGGTTTCAACATATATTATACTGTATTCACAGTTATTTGTATGGTAACAAGTTCCTCAGTAAATAAATGACATGACCTACGACTCTATGGTCAGCTAGTTTCCCCCGTGTCCAGAAGTTGCCTCACTTATTAAAGATCAACATGGAACTCGAACCTAGAGACTGCTACAGAAATGATTGTTCACAGCTTCAGGTCAAATGAACATAACTTCTAGGCGACAAACATTGGAAGCATCAACCACCCCATCACCCACGCCACAGGCGCCATCACGTTCACAAGGTACAACCAGTCCAAGTACTTTGGACACACTGACCACTGCAGCAACAACAAGTACACCTTTGACATCCATGGGTGAGTGTCACCTGATGACGATGATTCATGACCCTGGTCAACGGTGATCAGTTGGATTACCATTATATTTGTGTGGGTATGAGTATCAACATTTGTGATGACACGCATTTGAGAAGACTAGTGTGGTCCATGGCAACAGTGTTATTACCTTGAGTTTTCCTGAGTCTGTATCTAATTACTTGAACATGCAATAGCTTACATAGACTGTCCTGTACAATATGCTATAACATCAGTACAGCACAACTCCAGAAGGTGTAATCAGAGAGCCTGACTGAAAATAGTTTGACTTGGTCTCAATGTGTTTGTTTGCCGTACTATTATTGCAGCTATACGATGGCGGTTTGTAAATAATCGAAACTGGACCAGACAATCCAGTGATTGTTATTTGTTAGCAACGATCCACGCCATCAGGGTACGTAGATACACAATCAACCAAGTCACCGAGCCTGACCACCCCGATCCATTTGGACGCCTCTTAAGACCAGCGACGGTTTCTGGGAACCTCATGTATTATTTTCAGGAATCCCCACGACGGCCATGCATACTAACCACAGAGGAAATCACTCATTGTGTTTCATTTCCCATACAGATTCACTAACTACGTCAATAGCCACAACGCTATGGATATCCAACGGCATCACTACACTGTCTGAAAGAACTACCTATACTACTGCTCCGGGATCAACCGACACAATGAAATCCCTGACCTCTACACCCCTGTCATCAACACACACGGGTATCTATATGTACATGTAATAACGACAAACAATGACATTGTTATACGAAATATGGAAATAATTTCGGTTAAGAGTGTGCATTCACGTGTGTGTGTATACACGCACGCACTCGTGTGTTTGTAAGCCAAAGTTGTGCAATGAAGGCACAGACAAAAGCAGAAATTTTTACGTTAAAGACTTCATGTATCTCGTTTCAGACAATGGAAGTATTGTTTTACCCTTAGCAGTGGTGTGTGGTATCATGGGTCTCATCATCGTGGCGCTGATCATATATATGTAAGTACATCAAACTGTTTGATTTATACGTGTGATATTATGGCACTTGGCTATGAAGTCAATATGAAACCTTGTAAATATTATACAATGATCGTATGCAAAACGTCTATTGCTGCAGCATGGTAAACAAGCTATCCAGGAACTCGCACGGTAATTCATCTAATACTGAAACGTCAGTTCATTATGGTGTGCGGAGCATCCCTAATGGATCCCAGGGAGAAGATGACCTTATTCCCACCAGTGGAACCACCAAAACATATTCTGGCCTCAGCCATGATGTTGAAAGAAATATCTACAATGTAATACAACGTAATGCAAGTGAAGACGGTGAAGAGCATAGCTACGGTCACATAAACAGAAGTGAAGGACCTTCCTACGTCAACTCGGTCAGTGGAGATGATCCATACATTAACGCCTAGAGACAACACACAAGCTAGTGTTTCAGATTGTTGCAGCATATAGTACCATTATTCGCAGGTATAAGATCAGTCAGTGCGTATTTGCACTTATCAAGTATAACATGTAAAGTTTATGTTGTAAATTATGTCTCTATATCATGTTCCATATATACTCAAAGCCATTGAAAACGCACTTCAGTGTTCAGAATGTGTGTATTTTATTACAGTGAAAGAAAACCAAATGAAACCAACCAAAATGACAAACACACCCATTACATGAAATGTTAGCAATAAAGTCCGTAAGAAACACGCCCGTGGATGATGACACAGAGGCTCAGAACGAAGCCGGGACCACCGAGGATCAATAGCGGGCATGTCCACCATATCCACTGACGAATGCCTGAAGTCGCCGAGGCATGGACTGACAACTCAGGAAACGTTGTTGAATGGTCTGCCAGTGATGTTGTGGGGGTGGGTGCGTATGGTTTTACGCCGCTATTAGCAATATTCCAGCAATATCAGGACGGGGACACAAGGAAAGGGCTTCACATTGTACCCATGTCGGGAATCGGACCCGGGTCTTCGGCGTGACGAGCGAACGCTTTAACCACCAGGCGATCCGACCGCCCCTGATGTTGTGGGGACTGTGTCAACTCTGCCACTGTCTGAGGCGGTTGCTGTTGAGTTGGAACCCTCTGTCAAAGCTCGTCCTACAAGTGTTCAATTGGATTCATGTCAGGTGACATGGCAGGATGTTGTTCCTGGTCAGAAAGTCTCCCGTGAACCTTGTGGACGTGCATTGTCATGCTGGAAGACAAGATGATGTAGGGCGCCATGTTGAGCCAGTAATGGCAATAGTGCTGGGCGAAGGGTATTATTCACATAATGCCTTGGATAACCACCGTCTGTGGGACCGGAAACTGATGGTACATCCCATACCATTGTACAGCCTCCTCCAAAGCGACACCTTTCCAAAACACAGCGGCGTTGACGGGTCCCAAAAGTACCAAAAGGTACAAAAGGTTGAAACGATGCCACAGTCGAGTTATCTTGCATGGATGGACGTTAACACGTCTGGCGACGATCACTTGAGTTGCCCCTTCTTGCAGCATTCTGATCGCTTGGTTCCTGCTGGCTTGGTCGAGTCTTGGCATACTGAACAAGTGTCGGATGACCATTTTCGTAGGTGCTTTTAAAGAACCTGGGATCTAGCGTTTCACGTGCAGCATGTGTCAAGCAACAGTGATTGTGTTTCGGTGCAGTGTGCACAGTTGCGCTTTTCACTTTCTGATTCATTGCTCCAAGGTGGTTCGAACCCGAATTGTCACAAGGGGACACATATCTCTCACACCACTATCATGATGTTTGAAAAGGTTTGGGGCAATTGCTCTTTTCACAAGTACGCTCATCAAAAGCTATTGTGTTTTCAATGGCTTTGTGGTAAATCCTCATTCCACCCCATTTTTCAAAGATTCGTTTATCACCTGATCAATCAGCTTGCTTGATAATTAAATTTAGTTTACCTACTTCGTTATGAATTAATATTATTCTAAGCTATGAACATATCTGGTTATGCTTTTTCACATATCTTTGAAACAAAATAGTGGTCTGTATATTCAGCGTGAGACTAACCAGTGTTTCTATAAAGGCCAACGTATACATATAAACTTTATTTTCGTAATTATTTCTCTTAAGTTTGAAAAGGAGTTCCATATTTGTTCCATATTATACACATTCTAGTTATATCCTCATTCCATAACATTTCACAATATTTCATTTATCAACTGATCAATCATCATTTTTTGATAAATATATTCAGTTTATCTGCTTTGTTATGAATCATTATTACTCTCAGCTTTGAACATATGTGATTATGCGTTTTTACTTTCCTTCCGAAATAAAATATTCATATTCCAATAATTATCTTTGTTCATCATCCGATATTTTTTGGGATATATATAGGGACGTTTATGCAAGTTTATGCAAGTGCGTGTGACTGCTTGTAATGCGAGGTTTTTTTGTGCTAGTCAACAGATATAGCATGCCGCAGTCTTAACATGGACAACCCACTCACACTCCCTGCCGACCAGGGTACCATTGTACAAAACAACCTCAGCGCTACGACTGCCGCAAGTCTGTCTTAAGGTATGGGAGTTACGATCACATTAGCACTAATATCGTTTTGTACATCGGCACTCTGGCCTTGTTTTAGCAGACTTGACAGATTTTGGGATGGGTCGGTAATGATATGGGATGGGATCACTATGACTGCAAGGACGCCACTTGCCAATTCAACTGATAATGGTAGAGGTACTGTAAGAAGAGTAGCGCTAAAGAAGCATACTTCGCATACGAAACCTATTTGTAAACAATCACGTCAACGAACATCACTCAAGGCATACATCTTATAATAAACATCTTACCGACATAGTCAATGTCTAATTCAACTTCCTCAGTATTACTGTGTACACACAACATGCCAACATTTGAAAGTAATTTTCTGAGCACTACATGATCACAAAGAACCACGTCATTAACGTACATGGAGCAAAAAACTGTCTGACGAGGATCATAGTTACTTTCACTTCCCCACAGCAAAACACTTCCCCTATGTGAATGTGTGTATCTTTCGAATGCTTTACAGATAATGTACGTACATATATATATTTCCTCTCATAAGTTGTTTACTCAATGGTCTCCTGCATTGCAGAAACACCCTGAATATATAAAGCTTGCAGATAAACTTCACATAATAGACTAGCTATATTGGAAAATCCACTGCTTTCATTCAAAGGTGGAAAACGCAGATCGCTGATAAGCCTGAAAATTGAAAAAGAGGCCGCTTCCGTTATCTAGTGGAAATAGCGGTAGGCCAAACAGTGGTTTAATTCTCGGCCGCGTCATACCAAAGACGTTAAATATATGGTACTTGTTGTTACCCTGCCTGGCGCTCGGCATTGAGGGGATAAAGCAAGCAGAGATCGGTTCGGAGTCCGTATATTGTGTCCGAGTTGGGTATCAATGTTAAACTGTTGCGTGTTATTTCAGTGAGCGAGCACTATAAAATTAAAGCGGAATTGGTCCAGAATAGTACAAGCAGTCACACATGCGTGCATGCACGTCGCTATAAAAGTACAATAATCTTGAAAGCAACGTTTCACCCTATTTTATTCACCTCACATCTGTCCGTATATTCGTGTGCGAATCGCCCGATATGCGCACATGATCATATACTCTTTAAAATGCAACGTTAGGGATAACACTGCATTACAAGGCACCAAGGGTGGGTGGGTGTGTGCAGTTACTGAAATAATTGTGAAATGCTTTTTACCTCAACTTGAATAGAGCAAAATTGTGATGAATGCAATATCGCCACATAATGACGCCGGTGTGCTCACATTAAAGACACTAGACGTATTGTGTTACCATTAGCAGTGGCGTGTCGTGTCCTGGGTCTCATCATAGTGGTGCTCATCATGAAACTACAAGTACATGAAACTGGTCGAGTTATATATGAGTGAGTGAATAAGAATCATTTTATGCCGTTTTAAGCAATATTTCGGTAATATCACTAATATTAACTAATTACGGTATGTAAAACGTTTATTACTGCAGCAGGGTAAACAATCTATCCAGGGGAAACTCGCACGGTAATTCATCACATACTTACACGTCAGTTCATGATATGCAAAGGATCCCTAAAAGATCAAAAGGACAAGATGACCTAATTCCCACCTGTGACACCACCAACTCTGGCCTCAGTCATTATGATGACACATGTCTACGATGGAATACATTGTGATGCAAGTGACGATGGTGACGAACATACATGTAGCTACGGGCGTATAACCAGTTGTGAAGGGCCTGCCTATGTTTACTGTCAGTGAAGATGGTCCATATGTTAACATCTAATATCAACACTCAAGCTATTGCTCCAGAGGTTTGGGTTTGGGGGGGGGGGGGGGGGGGGGGGGGGGGTGGCGGGCGTGGTCGGGTAGCCTAGTGGTTAAAGCGTTCGCTCGACACGCCGAAGACCCGGGTTCGATTCCCGGCGGCCTAAAACCATGCTCACTCACTCACTCAAAATAGGGAATTGCATCGGACATAATTTTTGTCACTGACATACTTTGAAAGGGATATTTTAATAATATTCTAAATTGATAGCAGGTGCATACATGTTGTGAAAGAGCAAAAGCACCAACATGTGTGGGCAATTAATTATGACACAAAGCAATACATTTTCTTCCTGAAGTCACGTTTGCATTTATATCTAACGACAAAGCCCACACTTTCCTGGTATGATAGCGCTGTGTCGAGTGGTACTATTCATACATGTAAGATCATGTTGCAAACTTTCCCTTTGTGTAGTATCATGCTTTTCCTCTAAATGTCACAATGTGTTTTATGGCAATGTTCATATCATTTCATACCGAAAATTCAGCAACACTTGTCAGAACGTCAGTATTATCCAGTTCAATTTATGTTGTATACTTGGACACGATACCTTCGCAGTAAAACAAATTTAAAAAGACCACAATCATATTTTTACGGAAATCATGAAAATGTAACTTAACAATATTAAGCATTGCCTACAATGGGCAAAACAGTCCCTTTCGAAATAAAAAATCATATTCCATTGAAACATCTTTGTTCATCATCCAGTATTGTTTTTTTTATCAATTCGACTACAGATCGTATCGTTAGACAGGTCTTAGATAGGTATATTTAAAGTATACGTAAATGATTACTTTCACATGAATCAGATTATGTCGATGATGATTCAATGTTTATTTTTGTCTGCAATCTAATATGATGAGAGAAAAAAATGACATAAAACGTGTGTTGCCGGCAGGGGTCTGCACCGACAGGCTAAAATAGACATGGAAACATAAGCGATATTTCCATAATCCATTGTATATAATAATCGCGTGTTTTTAAATCACTATTAATTAGTGATGGTGAGAGGTTAAGACGGTAAGGCCACTCGGATCCCGCGTCTCGGGGTCTAACCTATGTAAACGCTAAGACATCGCGTCCTCGTGGACTTAACTGTATTCATTCCTATGATGGAAACTATCTACATCATTCACACAGTTGAGTCAATGCTATTAATGATAAGTAACTTGATACGAAATAAAGAATGCTAAATTGATGACAGACATGGTATACAAGAGCAAATGAGCAAACATATGTAGACAATTAATTATGACACAAAACAATACTTTTCTTTAAGTCACGTTTACATTGATATGTAAATGCATGGCCAACATTGTCCTGGTATGATAGCTCTGTGACAATTGGTACTCTTAATACATCATGCAGTATGTTGCGAACGTTGTGTTATGTCATGCTTTTCCCGCAAATGTCACAATACGTTCTATTGCAATATTGCCCTGAATACCTTCAATCCAGCAACACTTGTCAGAAAGTCAACATTGTCTGATTCCACTTGTTATATATACTTACACGCGGTACCATCGCAGTCAAACAAATTTGGAACACACTGTCATATTTTTACGGAAATCTAGGAAATTAAAGTTAGCAATATTAAAGATTGTTTACAATGGACGAAAGGGTCATGTCACCACAATCACCTATGTCTGAACCCATATATACATCACAACTGCTGAAAGCTGTCACACGCATTTCTCTTACACTGATAATGATTTCTTATATTGCTAACAATTGAGGAAACCGTGTTTGTATATATTTGTAGTTTACCTTTTTCAGATAACAATATTTGAACTGACGTTGTCTATTCTTTGAATATCTTAGCCGCCACCCATACCAATTCAAGCTAAAAGACCAATCCTGTTCTTACGTTTACTTTCAAGTCATGTAAATGACTTTTAAAAAGGTAAACTGTGGAATAAAACATAAAATGTTTCTCTTACATATTAGATATACCACACATTATTCTATTTATGTTTTCTTAGATGTGTAATACCGCCTGCCATCATTCTAAAGTCATCCCCTCATATGACCTGTATATATTTGCCTGTTGTGTCAATTTTCAATGAACAATATCCAGATCAGACATTTAAACTGCTTCATCACCCGAACACAAGGCTGGTATCAAGCACTATTGCAAACATTTGATGTATCGTAAAAAAAGTGTCGAAATAACTTCCGGAACACAGTTTTCCGTCAATATATTCAGTAAGCCTACCGCTTACTCACCTTAGAGAGTCATAGTTGATGTGTTTCCCGCCATCATCGGTCCTAAATTACTCTCCAACTGAAGATGATTTATAATATGTTTTATTCATCATATTACTAACCCATTATCAAATGCTAACACCTGAAAGCACACGTCTATAAGCAGTTCATTACTGGAAATTGAAAGTTCCATACATTCCGCTCTATTTGAAGTACCAAAACCTGCTCGTGGTGGATAATTAAAAACACTCTTTACAGTTGTAAGTAATGCATGTCACATTTCGATGTATACAATGTATGCACAACCATCCAGCATGAAAATCAGTTCACTCGCAGTACCAACCCCACACCACCCTGACACACACGCACACATACACACATGCTACCCGTACCTCTGGTCACACACCACCACCCCCTCCTCACATCCCCTACCCCCAGCCGATTGTTAGCTATAAGAATGCTAATAACCACAATACTTTGCAAAATAACCCTTGTTGAACCGGAATACGAAACAAGCACAAGGAAGTTCTCTGCTGTATAGCAAGAGTCGACCTGGCTGACGAGAAAAGGACATTGTGCTATACGCATGTAGTTACATTTACGCTTCATTAAACATACATGTTTACAGTCATTTTACTTCCCTGTTCGTTGATGGCAATGGTGGTGAAAGCAGTCCAGTATTCGTAGGTCCGTTTTGTCTTGTTATGTCATGTCAGAAGTTGCGTTTACTCATGCATATTTGCTATCAGCAATTCTAAGCTACCTTGTGAGGTTTTTGAATTCGTATCTACATTGTCCTGGTTATAACATTTCATGTTTCAGCTTACATTGAAACACTACTTTTCGCCTGAGTGATATGTGTAAGACTCAGATGTTAGGTGTTCCTGTCTACCCGGATGATTCAAGGGGACGGCAATTGACACATTGAAGATGTCTCAGGAGTGATTACGTGCTGCCATGAACCTACGAACGTTGTGGACATTGCCAGTGATTCAGTTGCGTATGTGTGGGACATTCCTACAGGCGACTCGCTACATACTGAGCACAACAGTTTAACGACATGTAATGCCTGAATAGAGTCGGCGTGTTGTGTATCCACGGACATACAAAAAGGACGTAGTGTGCTCCTGAGGACTGAGATTTAAAAGCTATGCATGCTGAAAGAGCATTTGTGCTTTGCGTCTATTTCTTACTGGCTGTATGCGGTGAGTAAAAAAAAGATATACGTTCATTTGGTTTGTTTACTTGAGTATGGGTTGCATTGTTCATTTTGGCAACTACGATGTGTATTTTCATCAGATTTCAATATTATAAAAGTCGCAATACTGTTCGTTTGTTTATGAATCGTTGAATAAGACCCAGAAATTGCGACAGCGGTTGCCATATGATCTTGGTACCTGTGATTTGTTGTGACTGAAATTACAAGTATACAACAATACAAAAGCTCAAATGTTCAACCCCCTGGATGTCACTGAATTTAACAGCGCACAAGCATTTACATTTACCAGTGTTGCTGTACTATGTATCTAGGAAACAGAAAGGGGTATCAAACAGCATGAATATACAAGTAGTTCAAACTATGTATTATACGAAAGCCTATTTGGGTCAAAATTGATCATAATTTCGTTATAACGGAAAAAAGATTCGTTATTATGAAAATATATTTGTTATTGCGAAAAAAAAATTCGTTATTACGAAACAAGATTCGTTATTACAAAAAGAAATTCGTTATTACGGAAAAAGAATTCGTTATTACTGAAAACGATTCGGCATTACGAAACAATGGTTCGTTATAACGAAATTATTTCCGTAAAAACGAATTGTTTCCTTCATAACGAAAACATTTTCGTAATAACATTCTTTTACTTAATAACGAATCTTTTTTCCGTTATAACGAAATTATTTCCGTCATAACGAACTTTTTTCCCGTTATAACGAATTTCATTTCGTGTCCTTTTCCATATTTCAATTTTGACCTCAATAGGCTTTCATAGTATTAGATGAAGAGATACGAGCCAATACTTTATTTGCGCAAATGCGATCCTTGGATTCATGATAGGTTATGTACTTTCGAGATCATTACAATTTTCTACGGGATAATGTAATAGGCGAATCTTACTTTGAAATGTCTGTCATGCATCACTTATGTAAAGTACAACGGGATTCGCTTGTGTGATTTACTTATGAGCATATTACATAACTAGTTGCTTTTGAGAAATGAAAGCTCTTAATAAACCACTCAACAGCTGCATATTGTGTATTCCCACATAATGATTTCTCATTAATGTTTTATTTGATAATTACAGCATTACAGCTTTGGTACACGGCAGTTGCCTGCGACTGTAGTAAAAACGTTTAGATCTTATTCAGCGAAGTATATTTAAACGAGTTATAATGCATTCAAAGGTGACACCAGAACTGGGAACAGATGTATAGAGGGGTTGTGGAGAACCTTTACAATACAGCTTCAGTGTTCTGCCGGTGAATGGATACATGTCGAGCAAGAGGCGTATGGGGATGGAGACAATGCGACATGTCGCCTGAAATCGTCGTGCAGTAAGAGTCAGCAGAGCCGTGTAGTAAGAGCCATACCAGCAGCAAAAATGGACTGATCGTCAACTGTAATGGGAAACAGTCCTGCCATGAAGCCATATCCGCAACACCCAAAATAAACTGTAACTTCACATATGCTGCTGCTGAAGTAAATTACACCTGTATCAAAGGTGAGACGTAAATTTAGTATCTGGTCAAACTGACACAATCAACATGGTTTGCTTTTAATAATGAGTTACTGATTCGATAAAAATCGCATGTATGATTGTAGGTATTAAACCCAGTAGTCATAAATGCATATGTGAGTTTTAGAAGAAAACAAAATGGTACGTTCATGACAGAAGGTATATTCTGTTGTCTTTCAATCGTTGATATGTCACATTATGTGTCTGCCATTCATGGACATTTGATCTGGACGTGCACAGCATCTCACTTCGTTCTTAGCAATCCTTCCTATTGTTAGCACATCACACAATACATCCATACATGTACATGTATTTACCCCAAGGTGATTATTGGAGTAGAATACCTTAACACCCATACACGTGGCAAGGATCGGAAGAATGTATGCGTTACATTTGTACGTGTTGATACAAATGGAAAATATACTACCTGTCTCTATCCATGTGAAAACAGATGGAGAGAGATTAGGGTAATGTTGTGCATTTGAGTTTTTCAGCTTCTAGCCTGAAGTTTTAAAATATATATTGTAATAAGAGGTCATGGGTGATTCTGTTGCAATTCGCGTGTCAGAAACCCTTGAACCTATGATCTTCTATGATTGTTTCTAGTGTTCTTTGTACCATACCAGTGCTCGTGGGTTACACCAAAGTGGTAAAATCCCAAGAACTTTATTACGTCGAGCTTTCCCATCACATCAGGCTGATATCCTGTGATATAACTGAAATATTATTTAAGGCGGCGATAAATCCAGTTCACCCACGTGTATATTATAATTGAGAGCTCTCATGACGATACGGGTTAAAATTGGTCTTCAGCAATCAATGCTTCTAGAAAGAGAGTTGAGACTCGCGGACATGGCTGATGTAGGTCGTCGTATCCCACTTGCGTAGATCGATGCTCACGATGTCAGTCACAGGATTGTATGGTCCAGACTAGAGTATTCGCGGATCGCCGTTGTGTATATTACTGAGTGCGGCGTTAAACAACAAACAAACAGCTGATAGATTCTTAAGTTTGATATGCGACACTGCAGGAATAGATTAAGACTAGTAAAGAATGTTAGTTAATGTCATTTCAAGACTGACTCATGAACTTTATGACGGACTGCCTCCATGGTCTAGGGATAGAGCGTCTGCATTGGTGGTTCGATCTCAACATGACAATATGTAACAGACGTACAACACACAAATATGTTTTGAAAAATAAAGCTAACGCAACAAACAAGACCAGTGTATATCGTAAGTAGCTTGTTGATGTCATTGCAACATGGTATGTTAGCCTGTTGATATCATTGCAAGACTTACTGGTGAGCCTTATGATGGACTACCTCCATGGTCTCGTGGATGGAGTGTCTGCTTGGAGATCGGAACATGACAATATTTAACTGACATACAGAACACGCACATGTATTGCAAGTCAGTAAACGGAACAAACAAGTGTATATTTTCTGCAGAGAATTAACACTTGTGTTATCGCGGTTCAACGTATCATGCACCATGCGATAACTGTTGGTTATGCATGTCTGGATTGTATCGTCGTCGTCCGTGACTTCACATCTCGAGGTGAGCGTGTAGTTCCTTGAGGCCACCATCACGATTTCACAACTGATTGAGGCAAAAATGTAATTACATTTCAAACATCCATCGTGTCAGGCTTTTAGGATATGAACATTAAGTCACATGGGACAATATCGAACTTATCGTGATCAGCCACGTTTTTAATTGTGGCTTTATGCATCTATTGTGTTGATTATTTCTCATCATCACATTTCTAGTTTCATCATCATCATCATCATTATTATTATTATTATTATTATTATTATTATTCACCTGATGAAGGAGTAAGCATCTACTCCGAAAATGTTGTGTTCTTCATGATAAAGAAGTTGACATAAAAAAACTATCTTTCTTATCATTATGTTGTTCGTTACAATATTCATAAATACATCGTGACATGTCAAGGTTACACGTGTATGAGTACCATATTTTGTTACCTAGTAAGCGTTTAATTGCACCGACTTCTGTTTGTGATTTATGACATAACAAAACAACAAGCGCGTACGAATACTGGACTGCTTTCATAACATCTTTCACCATCATTGCCATCAATTATAGTATATGTTTTGTAATAAACAACCAAAGGATACTGCAAACTGATTAAACCTCCTGACTAGAGCCTGACTAGAGCCTGACTAGACGCTCATGCCAACTGACTAGAACTACATGCCAAGTGCCCCCTGCATCATGACCTTAGTGTGACCCTGGTAATAATGCTATATCATTTCCAGCGATTCATGAGTGTTTCAGCTTCAGCCTTGATCAACCGGGCGCCAAAACGAAATCAAGAATACATGGGAGCAATTTGCTTTATATGACCTGTTATGAAAGAATATGTCACTAATTTGAATACTAGCATGTAAGTTGTTCTACTTGTTATATGCATTGTGTTTCAGAAAGTATGGATATGTGTAGTTCAGTCAGCACAACAGTAAACGGGTCGGTGTACCTACATTCCCCGGGCTTCCCTAACAGTGTCGGTGTGAACAGCAGCTGTGTTGTTAGGATCACAGGGGAGAATATACAAGTAACATTGGTAGAACAGCGGATAAAGTTAGGGAGTCTTAACATCTCAGGTGACGGGAATCAACTCTGGACAAGGGTGAACTTGATCCAAAACAACAGGTTATTACGGGGAACAGCTGCCGAAGTAGTAATAGTCTACGATAACCATTATCAGAATGGATCAAATGTATGGATACGTGTTTCTGGTATGTATGAGAGTATACATCAAATTTATCTTTTGACGTGTCTCCTTCTATGATAACCATCAAATTAGCAATAAGTTAACAAATAGAATCTGATGCCGGTCTTGATTTGACTTTTGACTCGCTATCCGAGAAAACATGTAATTATTTCAATCTACCTTCAGTCAGTCCAGTGTGATCACTTTAATGATAAAATTCCTTTATGAACCAATCTATCCTGACAATACATAGTTTCTGATTTGTTCAATTTATTTTATTGAAAAATACAATTGTGACAGCCTCTCGAGAACTGCTGGTTCCATCAAAAGAAAAGTACAGTGTAGCCATGATGAAAATAAACCCCCTTTTAACTACTTTCCATAATATACTAAGAAAATATTATGACTTGACTGGTATGCAGTAGGTTTCATCATATATTATACAACTCTACGACCTACGACTCTATGGTCAGCTAGTTTCCTCCAGTGTCCGGGAGTCGCATCACTTATTTCAAATCAAACGGAACTCGGACCTACAGACTGCTTCAGAAATGATTGTTCACAGCTTCAGGTAAAATGAACATAACTTCTGAGCGACAACCGTTGGAAGCATCAACCACCCCAGTACCCACGCCAACACAGGCGCCATCGCGTTCACAAGATGCAACCAGTCCAAGTACTTTGGACACACTGACCACTGCAGCAACAACAAGTACACCTTTGACTTCTATGGGTGAGTGTCACCTGATGACGATGTTTCATGACCCTCTCAACGGTGATCAGTTGGATTACCGTTATATTTGTGTGGGTATGAGTATGAACATTTGTGATGACACGCATTTGAGAAGACTAGTGTGGTCTATGGCAGCAGTGTTATTACCTTGAATTTCCCTGAGTCTGTATCTCATCACTAGAACACGCAATAGCTGACATAGACTGCCCTGAACAATATGCTAGAACATCAGTACAGCCTAACTCCAGAAGGTGTAATCAGAGAGCCTGACTGAAGGAAATGACAGGGCGACTTGTCCCATGTTGAATTAGTAACGAGAACTCAACTTCTATCCCTATCTATTGTTCCTATTCCGTTAAGAGGTCGACAAATAGTTTGATTTGGTCTCTGTTTGTTTGTTTGCCGTACTATTATTGCAGCTATATATACGATGGCGGTTTGTAAAAAATCGAAACTGGACCAGACAATTTGTTATTTGTGAGCAACGATCCACGCCATCAGGGTACGTAGATACACAATCACCCCGATTCATTTGATCGCCTCCTGAGACCAGCGACGGTTTCTGGGAACCTCATGTATTTTCTTCCGGAATCCCTACGACGGCCATGCATACTAACCACAGAGGAAATCACTCATTGTGTTTCATTTCCCATACAGATTCACTAACTACGTCAGTAGCCACAACGCTACGGATATCCAACGGCATCACTACACTGTCTGAAATAACTACCTATACTACTGCTCAGGGATCAACCGTCACAATGACATCCCTTACCTCTACAGCCCTGTCATCAACACACACAGGTAACCAATGAGATTGTTATACGAAATATGGAAATAATTTCGTGTAAGAGTGTGCATGCACGTGTGTGTGTGTGTATACACGCGCGCGCTCGTGTGTTTGTAAGCCCAAGTTGTGCAATGAAGGCACAGACAAAAGCAGAAATCTTCACGTTAAAGGCTTCATGTATCTCGTTTCAGACAATGGAAATATTGTTTTACCCTTAGCAGTGGTGTGTGGTGTCCTGGTTCTCATCATAGTGGCGCTCATCATATATATGTAAGTACATCAAACTGTTTGATTTATACGTGTGATATTATGGCACTTGGTAATGAAGTCAAAATGCAACCTTGTAATTATTATTCAATGATCGTATGCAAAACGTCTATTGCTGCAGCATGGTAATCAGGCTATCCAGGAACTCGCACGGTAATTCATCGAATCCTGAAACGTCAGTTTATTATGGTGTGCAGAGCATCCCTGATGGATCCCAGGGAGAAGATGACCTTATTCCCACCAGTGGCACCACCAACACATATTCTGGCCTCAGCCATGATGTTGAAAGAAATATGTACAATGGAATACAACGTAATGCAAGTGAAGACGGTGACGAACATAGCTACGGTCACATAAACAGAAGTGAAGTACCTTCGTACGTCAACTCGGTCAGTGGAGATGATCCATACATTTACGCCTAGAGACTAACACACAAGCTAGTGTACATGTTTCAGATTGTTGCAGCATATACCATTATTCGCAGGTATACGATCAGTCAGTGCGTATTTGCACTTATCAAGTATAACATGTAACCGATTGAACAAGTGACCGATGACCAGTTTCCTGTGTGCTTTTAAAGAACCTGGGATCAAGCTTTTCACGTGCAGCATGTGTCCAGCAACAGTGATTGTGTTTCGGTGCAGTGTGCACAGTTGCGTTTTTCACTTTCTAATTCATTGCTCCAAGGTGGTTCGAACCCGAACTGTCACAAGGGGACACATATCTCTCACATCACTATCATGATGTTTAAAAAGGATTTTGGGCAATTGCTCTTTTCACAAGTACGCTCATCAAAAGCTTTTGTGTTTTTCATTCCACCCCATTTTTCAAAGTTTCGTTTATCAACTGATCAATCAGCTTGCTTGATAATTATATTTAGTTTACCTGCTTCGTTATGAATTAATATTATTCTAAGCTATGAACATATCTGGTTATGCTTTTTCACATTCCTTTGAAATAAAATAGTCGTCTGTATAATTCAGTGTAAGACTAACCAGTGCTTCTATAACAGCGGACGTATACAAATAAACTTTATTTTGGCAATTATTTCTCTAAAGTTGCAAAATGTGTTCAATATTTGTTCCATATTAAACACATTCCAGTAAATCCTTATTCCATAACATTTCACAATATTTCATTTATCAAATGATCAATCAGCATGTTTGATAAATATATTTAGTTTATCTGCTTTGTTATGAATTATTATTACTCTAAGCTATGTGATTATGCGTTTTTACATTCCTTCCGAATGTTCATCATCCGATATTTTTTGGTTATTAATTCAACATGTATACATGTCATGACGTTAGACAGTTCTTAGATAAGTCTGTAATACGTATATGCAAATGTTACATTACTTTCACATGGAACAGATATGTCTCGGTCATGAAATGTTTATTAACCTCTGCCATCCAATTTGATATCAGAACAAATTTGACATCAAATATGTGTCGCTGGCAGGTGTCTGCATGGAAAGGCTATCAAAGACATGGAAATAATTAAATAAACATTTTCATTATAAATATCTATTAATAATAACAAATCTGCGTTGTATGATTCCGACTACATGTATATCATTAGTGTTTATGAATATCTATCAAGTGTGGATGATACCAGGTGTTTGTGAAAAGGTGGGCGTATCCTGACCCTACGGTGGCACCAGTTACATGCAAAGGCAACCCAACTGTTTACCTCGAAAACAACACGACACATAACGGTACAAGTCACAATAGGGAATTGTAACGGACATGAGTTTTGTCACTGATATATTAGAAATCTAGGATAGAATAAATGGGAGAGTATGCGTTTTATACATTTACAAATCTGTACATTTAACGAAAGTAGGTTGTCAAACATAGACGTTTTGAATATATATGAGAATCATCAAAGTAACGTAAAAAAGACATTGTTTGTAAATGCTTGGGATAGTAGCCATGGTTCAGAAGGTAGGGCCACTCGGACCCGCGTTTCGGGGTCTAACTGACCATGTCAACGATTAGACACCGGGTGTTCGTGGTCTTAACTGTATCCATGCTGATGGGGAAAAAAACTAACTACATAATTCACACAGTTGTGTTAATCTTGCTAAGGATTTGTGACCAGATATGTAACTAGTTATTTACGAAATATAGACTTCTAAATTAATACCAGGTGGCGACAAGCACAATATAAAAGGAATATATTTCCTGAAGTCACGTTTACACTGACATGTAACTACATTGCCCGAATTTTCCTGGTATGATAGCATATTATGCATACTACTATGCATAGGATCATGCCATCTGTTGCGAACTTTATCTCTGTGTAGTGTCATGCTTTTCCTGTAAATGTCACAATGTGTTTAATGGCATTGTTGCATTTCATATCGAAAATTCAGTAACACTATTCAGAAAGTCAGTATTATCCTGTTCGATTTATGTTGTAATACTTGGACACGATGCTATCGCAGTAAAACAAATTTAAAAGGACTACGGTCATATTTTTACGGAAATCATGAAAATGTAACTTAACGATATTAAGCATAGCCTACAATGGGCAAAACAGTCCCTTTCGAAATAAAAAATCATATTCCATTGAAACATCTTTGTTCATCATCCAGTATTTTTTTTTTATCAATTCGACGACAGATCGTAACGTTAGACAGGTCTTAGATAGGTATATATAAAGTATACGTAAACGTTTACCTTCAGATGAAACAGATTATGTCAATGATGATTCAATGTTTATTTTTGTCTGTCATCTAATATGAGGAGAGAAGAAAATGACATAAAACGTGTGTTGCCGGCAGGGGTCTGTACCCAAAAGCTAACATAGACATGGAAATACAAGCGACATTTCCATAATCCATTGTATATATGATAATCGTATGTTTTTAAATCACTATTAATTAGTGATGGTGAGAGGTTAAGACAGTAAGGCCACTCGGATCCTACGTCTTGGGGTCTAACCCATGTAAACGCTGAGACATCGCGTCCTCGTGGACTTAACTGTATTCATTCCGATGATGGAAACTATCTACATCATTCACACAGTTGCGTCAATGTTATTGATGATACGTAACTTGATACGAAATAAAGAATGCTAAATTGATGACACAAAATAATACTTTTCTTTAAGTCACGTTTACATTGATATGTAAATGCATGGCCAACATTGTCCTGGTATGATAGCTCTGTGACAATTGGTACTCTTAATGCAAATGTCACAATGTGTTCTATTGCAATTTTGCCCTGAATACCTTCAATCCAGCAACACTTGTCAGAAAGTCAACATTGTCTTGTTCCACCTGTCCTGTTATATATACTTACACGCGGTACTATCGCAGTCTAACAAATTTGGAACACGCTGTCATATTTTTACGGAAATATGGGAAATTAAACTTCGCAATATTAAAGATTGTTTACAATGGACAAAAGGGTCATGTCACCACAATAACCTATATCTGAACCCATTTATACATCACAACTGCTGAAAGCTGTCACATGCATTTCTCATACACTGAAAATGGTTTCTTATATTGCTAACAATTGAGGGAACCATGTTTGTGTACATTTGTAGTTTACCTTTTTCAGATAACAATATTTGAACTGACGGTGTCTATTCTTTGAATATCTTGGCCGCCATCCGTATATATATGTATATATATGTGTAATAACGCCTGCCATCATTCTTAAGTTATCCTCGCATATGACCTGTATATATATATATGTTATGTCATTGTCAGTTACACTGAAGACCTGTCATGAGACAGCGAAAGTACTATGTCTGAAACTGATATAAAGAAGATGATGGACTAACGTGGACTTTATTATTAAATTATATATATATATATATATATATATATATATATATATATATATATATATATGTATATGTATATATATATATATATATATATATATATATATATATATATATATGCCCGTTGTGTCAATTTGCAATGAACAATATCAAGGTAATGTATTTACTATGGGGTAAATACGGTAACGAATGTGATTTGAAGAAGGCTGTGCACGTGAAAGCGGTGGCGTCACGTGCATAAGGTGCTGAGGAGAGGGCAAGAAACACCACTCGAGGCCTTCGCGTCACACAGGCGAGCTGTTGTCTTCTTTGTTCGGAATGGATTCACCACAGCAGGAAAATCTTGACTCCGTTGAAGAACTACACATTCCTGGTCAACCTAACAAAGCACAGGATTCTGTTGAAGGGTACGAAACGTTTCAACTTTTTAAGCAATATATGGACTGTAAGTTGAAGACTTTCAAAAGTGAAATTATTGATGAAACTGAGCAGAGGTCGTATTCTGTCATTAAGAGAGCTAGAAAAGACTTTGACTCTCCACAGTTTAGATTCAAAGGGAATCAGTTACAATATAAGTTCAACATTGGTATTTTGGATCAGGTTGACTCTGCTATTCGGTTTATCAATCGGGATAACACAGTCGATTGTGTGCATGTCTTGAGAGAAATTAGCTCTAACATCAGTAAAAGAAACAAGCACATTAGACTTGCAGACAGATCTACAGCCGGTTGGGCAGTAGTCTCGGAGTTGGAAGGGGATGATCTGGCTTCAAACTAGGATGAAGAGAGACGTTTCGAGAGAGCGGAAAGTAAGGCACAGTGCAGAAAGCGCCCTACTTCTTTCAATTCCCGTGGTAGAGGTTATAGTCCTTATCCTTCTGCAACTTTCCCCAATCCTAACAGCGAATTACCCAAACAGGCCCCTCAGGTTCAGCAGAACCAGCCCTTTCGTTTTCAACCCAGGAAAACACCACTTCCAAACCAACAATGCTACTTTTGCGGAGCCTTTGGGCACTGGAGAGCCACATGTCCCCTTGCAGCCGCCCAGAGGTCATCGCAGTCAAGTAATTTCAACCCACCACAAGGACTTCAGCCTACAGAGGCCTGCAAAAAGCAGTGATTATTCAGGTAAATCAAAACCACTTTTGAGATATGAAATATATATTTGAGTGGCTAATGCGTTACTATCTTGATTGAGATCGTATTACATATGTTTCAGGGGATCAGAACTCAAGCAGAAGTATTAAAAGAAAAACTAACATGGATTTGCCACAGGTCTCCCGTTCAATATCAGAACAGCCTAGTAGTAGGTCACAGCTTGATGTTTCACCCGTAGACAAAGTCAAACCTGAAACCAGAGGTATTAGTACTGATTTTGTACCTGTACCTAGTTATCTTGACAGAACTGACACGTCAGCGAGTAAGCATAACATTAAGGAAAATCTTAAGAGGCACATCTCATTTTGGAAGGATATAGAAGCTCCAGAATTCATCATTAGAACTATTATGGAAGGTTACATCATCCCCTTTGTGGAGTCGCCTCCCTTGTCTTTTAGTAAGATCAACGCTTCTGCTGTAAAACATAGCGACTTTGTCTCTGAGGCTATCCAGGATCTCCTGTTAAACAACTGTATTGTTGAAGTCGTAGACTTACCTCAGGTTGTAAATCCCCTATCAGTTTCTATTAATAGCTCTGGTAAGAAAAGGTTGATTTTAGACCTAAGAGTAGTAAACAAATATGTTTGGAAAGAAAAGATAGTCTTTGAGGATTACAAGATTGCTTTGGATTTCGTTAGACCTTGTGGATACATGTACAAGTTTGATCTTAAGTCTGGGTATCACCACATAGATATTCACCCTAGTCAACACACGTTTTTAGGCTTTTCTTGGTCAGTTAAAGGTGTACAGCGTTTTTATTGTTTCACAGTTTTACCTTTTGGTCTAACCTCGGCCCCTTATATATTTACTAAGTGTTTTAGGCCATTAGTTAGATACTGGAGAAAACATTCTGTAGATGTTGT